AATAAGAGCACCACACCTGGCTCCAAGTTTAGAGATAACACCTTCAATGTTTAAATTGAATTGATCCATATATGGCTTATTCCAATACAAAATGTTTGACTTCATATAGTTGCTATCAATATCAAAAAGATGATAAAGAAGGAAATCCACCTTTTATTACCTTTGAAATGCTTCAGAAGAATCACCTTTAGCAAAGACAAGTTGATGAATTTTATTCTTAAGGACTATAATGTTATGGAAAGAACTCATCTTAGTACCTTGGTGCTTATAAATATTTCTTTCAGACCATAAAAACAAAAAAAAAAAATCAACAAAGAAATAACAGTAAGAATATGACCAGTATCTAAATTACGGAACCATTGATTAAGAATATTGAGGAAAGTAGTGTTTTGATAGCTCATATTAACACCAAAACAAATATCTAAATCATACAAAACATCAGTAGCAATATGTCCATCCAAAAAAAAACAAGCTTGATGGTTTCCATTTAAAAATAATGTTGCCAGTTAAAAGTAATGAAAAAACCTTTCTTCTTTAATTTCTCATCACACAAAATTAAACCCTCAAGTAATCTCCAAGAAAAAAAATATAAATATTCTTCAAAACATTATAATTCTAAATTTTATTGAGAATCAAATTATAAGTATTTATAGTTCTAAATCAATCCCAAATAATTTTTTTATTGAAGTTTCCATTAGCAGAATGTTTAAATATAGGTTGTTCCATAGAATTGAGATTGATTGGTATATCATGAATATCATTAACCATAGAAATAGGAATATGATCAAGAAGTAGATTAGTATTCCACTTATCATTCAAAATAAATTCAGAAACTCTCAAATTCAAAATGTAATGAGTACTAAAAAAAGAATTAAGAGAACTTGTACCCATTCAGTCATCTTGCCAAAAGACAGAAGAACCAACAATAATACCACATTGGATACATTGCTCACCTTTCCACTTAGCTTTGCAAAGCCTAAACCAAACAACAGATTGCCCTTTCTTAAAAAAAAACATTGAGAGGGATGACTACTCTTGTAATATTTGAAATTCATGAATTTAGCCCAAAAAGAGTTGTTAGTATGAAATTTCCACCATAGCTTAATAGACTAATAATTCTATATATCTATAGTGGATTTACATCCTACACCACCCTCACCATAAAGGCTTGTAGAAGATATCCAAGCCTTCCAATGAATCTTTTTACTATTAGGACAAAAGCCCCAAAAAATATATTGATAATTCTATCCAATATATTACAAATCTCTGAAGAAGGTTTAATAATTTGGAAGAGATAAATAGATATAGAATAAAAGATTCTTTTAATTAAAACAAATATGGCACCCATTGACAGAAATTTAAATTCCCAAGAAGAGAGCTTATATGCTCAAATATTTTAATAAACCTTTTTAAAAAGAAATTTTTTCCTTTTTAGAGAGGAGTTCCCAAGTAGTAAATAAGAAGGGATTGATGAGAAAAGCCTGTATTTTGAGAAATAGTATCTTTTATGTTTCATTCCCTTACCATTAATAAAAAAACACTTCTTTTAACGAAAATATATGACAGGTTGGTGGTGTAATCTTAGTTATAACATGTAACTAATTGAATGAATTATACTAACAGGTAGAGGGTGATGAATCTTAAATTATTATTGAAAGCCGCCTATGAAAATAAACAATTAATAAAAATAAATGAAAGATAAGATGATATTGACATATTGATGGCTATTACAGATAACAGACTGAAGAAAATAGCACATTAAAGATGCATGTCCTGCCTTGTTTTTCATAATATACTTAAGATAATATTTACTTAATAATAAATTAGACTAATTGATAGTATATTAAACTAATTAACATATTGATTGTGCATACTTGTATAAATATTGATACAATATAGCATAACTTATTAGGTGAATTTATTGATCATATTAATTTTATTATTATTATTATTATTTAGTTTTTTATTGCTCATATTAGTGATGATTGATATTTATTATACTTGAGCATACATATTGATTCTTTTTCCTTGCATTAAAAGTTGTGATAGAGTTTTGGTTACTTGTAGGGCTTTTTAGCTCATTATATGTGATTCAAATGATTTCTTGTCAGGTTTTCTTTTAATTTTATTCTGAATTTAATTTTATTCATTTATAGTCATGAGCTTATGATAGATTAGTAATTATACTGATCTCCTAGCAAATAGGGAGAATGAATATAGTGCAATATTTTGAGGTATGTAATTGTTAGTTTTTTTTACTGGTTATTATTTATATTGATGATTTATAGAAGCTCTTGTATATTTTTAAAATGATAAATATACATTTCTTTTATACATGATATTTTGGTGATACAAATATAAGCTAAACTCCAATGTTTAGAAAAGATAGCTTGAAAACCCTTAGAGAGCTACTCCACAGTAATGATATGAAGAGCGGGGTATAGAGGTCACCTTGCCTAACACCTTGAAAAGCTTTAAAAAAACCATGGGTTTTGCTATTGATATTAATAAAACACCAAACATTTTTAATAAGAGAAATACAAAAATCATTGAAACCGAAGAGCTTTAAATTATTATAAATAAATGGAAAATTAATATTATCATAAGTTTTAGAGATGTCTTAATCTTTGGATTGAGAGTGATTTTGAGAAATTACCAGAGCTTATAACTCACGACGATATGGTGAACCATAACATCTTTTATGTGCTCCAAAATATTAAGATCCTATTTGGCAAAATTGACTATAAGCCATCTACTATTATTAAAGTTGTGTATGGATCTGCATCTTCAAGCTATGATTTAAGTTCTAACACTCATGCCAATATGCCTACGTTATTGAAAGACAATATTATTTTAGATGTGGTTGGATATCTCTTTATCTACTAGCTATGGTTAGATTTTGCCTTTTTTTCTATTGATCCTCTTTATACTACTCTCGCTAAATTGTTGTATCTTTTTTTTATTGTTGATTGCTACTTTTGCCTAGTTTGGGCCCACGATATCCTAATTTGCTAACCTTGTTTGTTGTTATATTCGTTTATTATATACTATTATGTTTGTTGGCTGCTTCTTTTTGTTCAAATTTTTTGTTGCAAGGATCATTGGTAGTTCTTGATCCATCATATCTTCGATGTCAATTTTTAGGTGATGGCTTCTGGCCTCCCTAGTTTAGCTCCATTCTTTAGTTTATTATTTTTTGAATTGTAATTAGTTGGGATCATGTGCTTTTAGTTTTTATTTTCTCTTTCTTTTTAAATAATAGCGAGCGTTTGATCCCTTTAAGGTCTTGTATTTTTTTCCATGGGCTTTCCAAAAAAAAAAAAAAAAAAAAAACTTAAGCAATGTCCAATTTCAAAAATAAATTGTGCCCAGTAACTTTAAAATTAATATCCTGAATAAGCTATATAGCAAGTAACATATTATCAAAAATATTTCTCCCTTTCACAAAAGCCCTCTGATTAGGAGAAATAATTTGGGTAGATGGAGCATCATTCTGGAAGCTAGGATTTTAAAGAATATTTTATTTAAAGTAGTATATAAATAATAGGTTAGAAATCATTCCAATTATCCAAGTGATCACATTTAAGAATAAGAACTAATGAGGGTCTCATGAAGAACTTAGGAATATATAAACCATTAATTAAAAACCCCTTTAACTACATTGCATCAATCATCTTTAATAATATGCCAGTACTTTTAAAAAAAGGAAATAATGAAACCCTCACGACCAGCAACAGAATTCTTATTCATCTCCATAAGGACCTTATATATCTCAAGATCATTAGGGCAAGAAGAAAATTGATTATTATCCTCCATAGTAGTAATGGTAGGGATAGTATGAGAACATGATATAATATCCACATTTTTAGGCATACCTAGTAATTGCTTAAAATGAGACAAAGTAGAAGCAGAGATGGCATCCTTATCCTCAAACCAAGACCCACAGCCCAACTAAATCTTATTAATAAAGGATTTAGACTTCCTAATGTTAGTCGTAGCATGAAAATATTTAATATTTCTATCCCCTTTAGAAAAACAAAATTCAGCACAAGATTTCTAACCCCAATACTCTTCCTCTCTACACTGAAGATCAGAATGATGATTCTTAATTAGCATTGATTGATAACAATTTGTTAACTTTAGACCCATCAAAAATAAGATTATTCTCCAACAAAATAAACTCATTCTCACCTTTAAGGATGTCATCAAAAATATTCCTGTAGACACATTTATTCCACCATATAATCACTTATTTAAGCATCTTTAATTTAATAGAAAAAGTAATGATGTCATTGGCACTTTTATAAAAAGGGATACGATCAACCTAGTTGGTTTCCATAATTTTGAAAAAAAATTACTAGAAAGAAGGCACATATTTTGAAAACTAAAGGAACCCTTGCTATCATAATTAAGTAGATTGATTAATTCAGGTTAGAAGAGGAGCATGGTCATAACCAGTTCTATTGAGATGTTCATAGTAGTGTAAGGAAATGAAGAAATACATTCAAAAATAAAAAGGATCTTATCTAATCTTTTCCAAAGTCTTAAATTAGACTATATAGTTGAAATAGCATTCTTTTCCTTATTAATAGGAGAAACAAAAACAACATTCTCCTTATATATTTACCTCATTACTGGATTTAAAAGTATTCAATTTTCATAAATGGGGATGCAATTTATAACAATCAACCTTTCTATGCCCTAAAGATTTACAGTTATCCCAAAAATTGGGAAAATCATCAAATACAGCTTTTAAATATATTAGTAGTTTTCTGGCCTAACCTTGATAAAGTCTGGATATAATTCTTAGTAACGTCTAATTCATCCAAAATGTGAGTGACATGGGGTCTTGAACCAAAAGCCATAGCCCTATCAGTTTGAAGAGGACGACTAAATAAAGAACCAAGACCATGCAAAATACAATGAGAAAATATATGAGGTCGAAGATCTCGAAAAGAAATACAAACAAACATGGTGGGAGATTCAAGAGCAATATCAAGTAGCGATGACCACTTAATAAGTGTCATATAATAGTTGCTCACTTAATATGCTCTATGCACAAAGATCCTACTATGATCTAAATCATTTGAGATTTTGACAAGGCTCCAATATGGTAAAAGAAAATTCACCATAACATTTAAGAGAGAAGAAAAATTTTTGTTTCGTATGAAACATGAAGTGACTGATGAAAGGTAAACTTTCCTATTAATGTGAATTCAAAAGGAGCTGTGAGGACTTTAATCTCTTCTTTGAAGATCCAGATCGAGCTGGTAAACCAAAGTATGAATTTTTTTAGATCTGAAAAAACACACGAAGAATCAGAGCTAGCCAAGACATTTGTAAAAGATTTGAAGCAATTCTTAGAAGAGAGAAAACCTTGATCAGATATCGTAATAGGAATATTAACCATCTTGAATGTGGAAGATTCTGGGAAACATCAACACTAGGGAAAAATCAAAAGCACCAAAATGAAAACTGAATCATAAACGTATGAAAACTTAGAAAAAAATGAGAAGAGAAAAACCACAAGTTAAGGGCAGAGATAAAGACGACTTCCTTCGGTGAGCTGAGATGATGGATCAGGCTATTGTGATGGAAGTGTTCCCCTAATAGAAAAGGATGATTGATCTTGAAGGCAATGCATAAGAGGGGTACGAGTAGGGCAAACCCTAACAAAGCTGAATGCACAAAGTAAAAAAATATATATTTATATATATTTTTTGTTAGAAGTGTATAAAAATAACATCGGTAGATGTGGCAAAATTTTGCTCCTTTCTATGGATATGATAAGCCATAAATTACAAAGTGCATGGCTCTATCCATAATCTTGAGAAATAATCTTCTCCAATCTTTGGGCCGCAATGATTTTTGTCTAATATTTTCAAGCCAAAATTAATATTTGTCAATGAAATTAGACATAAGCAAAATAAATAAAACAAATAACAGGACTTAATAAAAATATTTAAAGAATTATAAACTTTATAGATTGATATGATAAAACTAAAAACTATTGCAAATTTATTTATTCCACCTTTTTCACCTCTAAATAATTTTGTTTTAAAGTTCTTATTTCACCATTAACAAAAAAATTAGAAATTTAACTAAATAAATAATTATCATTTATATGCATAATTTCTTAACATTCAATTAGTGTTATTAAGATAAATCAACACATAATGCTAAAAATCTACAACTTAAATAAATTAACATTAGCAACACTTAGAATACAACATTCATGTGGAATAAAGTACATGGTAATACATCAAACTAATTACTTTTCATCCAACCAAACCAAAGCATAAAACAACTATTTCTGAAATAAAAAAAATAGGAACATGAAGTAATAATAAAACATTGCAAGTAGTCCGAGGATCCCATTCTTCAAAAGGAAACTGGTTCAACTAAAAGCATTGAGATGTGATCTTTTATCAAAACTGAATGGGTATACTTGTCTTGAGCGTCATATGCTGTTTCCATAAGACGTGCAAAGTTGATGACTCTCATGAGAATATCCCGAGAGAAAGTTCCACTTAGATTAAGGTACTCATGATTCAAGATTTTCCATGCATGTTCCACCATTTTCAATAGCTCCTCACAAGCATGATCCAACGTAGCACTGTACTCTTTCATGTAACATTGTACTGTAGAAGCAACATGGTTTCTCTTCTGTTCGAACTATAAAATCATAACTATATGTTAGAGGAAAATAATAGATTTTTTTTTTTTCATTTCAATTTGTTTCATATGTTTATGATAGTTAAGAAATGGCTAATTTGCAATTTTTTATTCAATAAATGGAGGTTGGTGCTTAATTAGGGAAAAAATGGATTATGTTCTGAGTGTATGTCACCTCTTGGGATACAACATCATCTCTAATGCGACATATGAGTGATGCTTGATGGGTAAACTTTGGGAATGTTGACACCCAATCAAACACTTCCTTTGTTGCTTCATCACCCATTCCTATAAAAGATGCACATGATAACAAATTGTAATAGGTTGTCACTGTCGACACTTCCAAGTGTTCTCTTAGTGCAGGAATGTATCCTTCATCCCTCCATTTTACTTCCTCATTGCAAGCTCTTACTACCACCTTAAACAAAAGCATGTAAGGTTGAAAAATTAATGATGAATATTCACTCATCAAAATAAATTAACATTTTCATAAAACATAAATCATACTATTTCTTTGAGGTATTTTACTCGATAAGATTTTCCATGACTGGTTAACTCATTGTCGAAATCCTCTAAAGCTTTAGTTAAATTATGAAAATGGACTTTCAAATATTCTTTTAGTTGTTGAGCTGCTTCCTCATCCCACCTGCAATCATAATTTTTTTACATGAACGATTTTATTTGTTATTCTCAGTCATTTATTAATTGTTTAAACTAAAACAACTCAAATATTGAGTTTTAAAATTATACTCAAACCTCGTGATAACATCAGTAAAGGATTGGAGCTCATCTGAAGTTCCATAAACATCATATATATCATCTGTGATTGAACATAGAGCAATCACCTTTGTCGTTATTTTTCTTGCCATTGAGTATTGCGGTTCAAAGTATACTGAGAGAATCCAGAAGTAACATTCCACTATTCTATCTCTCGAGAAATTGAATTTCGCATCATTAGCAATCTCTTCCCACCATCTATAGAACAAATTAACACCATCAATAGATATATATAAAAAGATTTTAAGCCATTTTCTAATAAACTATGTAAGGACCATAATTAATATTAAAAACAAATAAAAAAAGGACAACTATATCGTTTGTAATTGGAAATTAAAATATTATCTTATAATGAAAACTAATTAAGAGTAGTTTAAATTGTGTGTGTAAATAGGACATATTCAACGTAGAAGACTTTGCTAAAAGCAGGATTTATAGATGTATTGACATGAGCATAAGCTAAACGCTTAGATAGTAAATATAGGGGGGAAAAAACAAAATTCAATTCTCATGACTAAGTATATTTGAATGCTTTTTAAAATGAAACATGGATATACATAGAGATTTGTGCTACATCAATGAGTAATGAATTTTCATATAAATTCATCTAAATGAGTAAAGAAAATTTTCTCTCAATTTACAGGAATTTGGGGTGAGATCAGTACCTTTTGTTGCGTCTCTTTTTTGCAGGACGATCGTGCTGAACTCTTTGCTTTGTATCTCGTTGTTTTGGGATTGGCTCCTGGCCACCCTTAGATTTTTCTTAGATTTTTTTCTCCCTTCTTTCTAATTAGTAGTGGAGATCTTTGGCTTTTAAGTTTTTTTTTTCCCCCTTTTGTTTTAGCTCTTTGAAGCCTAGTTAGATATCGATCTCCTTTAAGGTCGTGTAATTTTTTTAATATCAACGCGTAGGCCCTTTGTGGATTTTCTCAAATATTAAAAAAAAATCACAGAAAATTTTCTGTGCTTCACAATTAAAAATATATTTTTTTCATTCTTCTAAAAAGAAATCATTATATTGTTACAAGTTGTTCCAAAGGTAATTGAGTAAGTTCCAATAACTTATGATAACATGGAGATTGTGTATTTGTAAAATCATAGTTTTCTTTCGATATTTTAATATAAACTAAAGCTAATTCTTTCCTTAAAATATAAGAGAGGAAAAAACAGAAGAAAAAATCACCAATGATTAAACTTACATAGAGAGGCTCCTGGCTTCTTCATGATGAAGTAACTGAAGAAGATTAAAATCCAGCTTTGCAAGTTCTAGGACAATTTCATTTCTTTTCTCCTTGTCTTGCTCATAAACTCTCATATAATATCTTGCTCCAAGCCTTGGAATTCTCCTATGCACAGGTAACTCCAATGCATGTAATATTAGTGTCTTTAAGGCTGAGTCAAGCTGATCATCCTTTGATAGACTTTGAAGATGGTGCTTTGTAAAGTTTAGGGCTTCATCTAATATATCATCCTCATGAGTAGATAAAAAACATGCTTCATATAAGCTAAGTAGGCCTCGGACGTTATTAGCCAAATTGCTCTTAAATTTCCCCTCTTCATCTTTATATTTACTAAACACATCTGTTTAATCAATAGTAGGGGAAACATAAGAAAGATTCATTAAAGAAAATCAGTCAAATGAAAAAAAAAAAAAAAGGACAGATCAAGCCTACTAGATGTAACGTTATAGCCATGTTGTCTCAACAATCTAAATTTTAGAGCAACATCTTGCAGATCATTTCCTTCGATTTTTCCATTATGATGATGAATTTCTCTCAGCCTTTTATCAATTTCCTCTTCAAAGTGATAGCCTACGCCTAGGCGTTGAAGAGAATCTATCAGCTCAAGGCTTTGCAGTTCATCCTCGTATGTGTTATCAAGCAAATTCTTCACTTCTCTCACCAATTCTTCCACCCTCTCTCTCATCCATTCCTCTGTTTTCTGCATTCAAGAACACACCATTTTCTCCAGCGTATTATGGGAAAATCTCTTTTATCATGTTATGTTTTTCTTTTTGTTAGAAAGAAGTTATAATGTTAAATTTTTCACATGGCCAGTAAATACCTTAGTGGAAAATAATAAAGCTTCGTTTTTTATGAAGTAATCGCCCCACACAGATGGAGTATAACCTGCAGATTGTCTGGCAATTCCTTCCTCCATTCTCTCTCTCTGTCTCTCTCTCTGTCTCTCTCTCTCTCTCTCTCTCTCTCTCTCTCTCTCTCTCTCTCTCTCTCTCTTGAACCCAGACACTCACCTTCACTCTCTCTCAAGAGCTCATACACATCTGAGGGGAATTTATAATACGGAAGCAATTGAGAAACACGGCATCTGTAAAGTTAAAAAAATCACGTACAATGAAATTTTCTTATAATATGGCGAAGATGGTGGTAATTTGTAATAGCTCGCCCAATGTATGAAACTACAATGAAATTTTCTTATAATAAATTTTCAGTTGTTTGAACCTTTCATATGATATGATTGAGATAATTTAGATTTAACCGTATAAAGACGGGTATTTGCACAATTATATGCAACTCAGCTTGATCTATTAGTTGGGAGCTTTGGCTATTAATGAAGATGTCTTGAGTTATAATCTTGTATATATGATGTGTTTATGAATTTGTCTTAATTGACCTACATATTGCCCAAAAAAATATTCAGAGTTAATGTCAGCCATTTTTTTTTTTTTTTTTTGATATTTTTTCATAGATCTAAAGATAATTCTCATTCTCCATCTTATTTTCTAATTAATTTGAGATTTTTTAGTTAGTTTTTGTGATTTATGCTACTAAAGCTTAGTGGTGGTTCACAGAACTAAAAAAAATAGATCTCTCTTTGTGTAAATTAGATATTTATTATGAACAGTTTCATCTAGAGATTTCTCCAATCCTTACAATTGCCTATTTTTTTTAGCAATGTACTCAATTACACTTATTAGTTGGCTTGAGTCCATGGTCTTTTTGTAATTGAACTTTATTTTTGATACAATTTGTGCTACAACTCCCATTTTATGC